CGTTTAAAATCGCTGGCCAGGCCAACAGCGAAACTGCAACTGCACCTCCAACTTCGGCTCCATCTTTAACTCAAACTCAAAGTCAGGCTCGAACCCGAATCCGAATCGAAAACTGCAACACCAACGCAGAGGCCTGAGGTTGGAGTTTATTTTAAAGTCGCTTTTTTTCGGCGGAGCTGTGCGGGCGGCACAGTGGGATCCATTGCTAATGGGGTGAAATTCGAGAGTCAATGGAGCTGTTGATTTACACATTTGAGAGTTCCTGGAAGCCGAACGCAATTAATAACTAAAACGTATGATTTATGGTTATCAAGTTTCATTTTCAAACTTATGATTTACAACTATTTTAATTTTTGATTTTTTTTTTAGTTTGTATATATTTATTTTTGACCTCCCTCTGGTGGTCAAATTTATAACATTAGATATGCATTTATTGAAATGGATGTATGTAGTTAAAGATATATTCAATCTTTGTTTTGTTAGGATTAAGTGTTCGGAAATTAAGACAATTTTATACATTTTTTAGATTGATGGTTTTCATAAAGTAAAATTTAAATTTGGTTATTCGCAACGTATTGCAGCCTAGAAATTCTAGTAAACAGCACTTTACAGTTCTGTAACAAGATCGTCTAACTTTCAAGCTGGGTTTTCACTTTCATTTATTGCGAAGGAATTTGTTTGGCCATTTGGGATCAAATTTCCAATGCAAAGCAACTCGGGGTGGATTTCCAGTTCATTGGCCCCACCGTGCAAGGCTGATATACAAATATATCTACGTGAATGGATATATATCAGCTGGGATAGGATCGCATAGCAGTGGTTTTATTAATGAGCACAGACGCACGCTTAGCACGAAAAACGCCACCGGAGCGATGTGAAAACTTGTGGATTTCGATTTCGATGCGGAATCGAAGACTAAGACAAAGCCATATAAGCCATAGTCTATGCATACTAAGTCAAGAAATAACACAAAAAAAGATTAGGCCAGGCTTGAGAGCGATGGGGGCGTCATTGGCGTTGGCAGCACATCGCATATCAAAATGCCACCTCTGCGGTATCATGGCAATCATTATAATGTGAGTGGGATCGTGCCTATATTATAATGGGCATAAATATAAGCTCTCCCGAATATGGGGGCGCTTGGCAAGTGTCGCACGAGCAGAACGTGCCCCCTTGGTTTTCGATTCGAAGATGGAACGTCATTTTGGCCTCTTTCGATTTATTTCCCGATTTCATAAGGTTTTGATTAATGCCCATGGCCCGACTTGGCCCGCCAAGCAGTCCACCTATTTAGCTATTCTCGACCCGCAATCGGTTGAACAATCATTATCGTAAATGTTGCTCACCAGTTGGTAAATGCCATTAATCAAACAGCTTTACATTTTATTTTGGTTCCATTTCGTTACAGCCACAAAAATTGCGGGGAATTCCACGATACAGCCAAATCCGAAACTACAGCAATTTAGTTTTACTAATGAATGAATGAATCGGTAGAGAAAGGTGAGTGACAGCATAACGAATGCCTGCAAACTACTGCTTGCCATTGAACTTGGATTGTGAGTGGGAACCCAACTTCCTTATAGGTAGTATCTCATATGAAAAATTGACAACTTTAATGTGCGAAATAGCAAAGGTGTCCAGTGGGTTAATTAATACGTTTTATGGGATAAATTGACTATTTTAGCTTGTATAGCTTTATACGTATTTTTTGGTATTCTCAATATCAAAATCTTTTATAATTAAATATAAATATTTACAATTATTTGTAGCTGTTATAGATATTATTTTATTTAATAATATTTTATTAGTTTATGACAACTGGTTTTTCGAAAATAAGTTCCTGGCTTACGGATTAATCCCATTTCCATATATTCATATTTACAAAGTATTTATTTAAGTTGTTTATAAATAATTGTTTTCCCATGAGCTAATATGAGCTTAATTAATTCTAGAACACGGCATCCATTAAGTAACGTAAGCAATGCAAATGCGGATTTTCAATTACTGAATTAATTCAATAATCTTATCAGAACTCCTAAAAGCTTTTCAATCATAAAACAACTAATTGGCACTGCAATTAGTTACGGAAAGGTCAGAGTCATCATGGGAAATTAAAAAAAATATGTTCATTGAAAACATTTCTGGCATATGCAGAAATTGTTCACCTGCGAGCTGGCACGAATGTCAAAATAATCACAGCGGCTTTTTCCAATTACATCCGAATTATTTATGCGGCCAATACAGAATACCGATTTCCAGCGGCATTTATCACGGCTGACAGTTGGGACGGCGTTCGGCTTCAACACGCCAAAACTGCTAAAGCCGCCAAATCGCCGCCAGCAGCGGTCAGCGCATAAATCCGCCGACAAACTCAATCAAAAAGGCGAGTTGGCCAGCCTAGCTCATTTTTTATGTCTATGCTCCAAGTACAGGCCAAACTTCCTACCTTGGGAAAATTTACAAAAATTTCGATTATTAAAAGAATTATCCGTACATTTCAAGACCTTACCATCGAGATTGTAAAAGTTAATTATCTTTTTCTTTTTTTTTAAGATCATTTTGGTGAATATTTCGTGTTAATTTCGGTTTGGGATGATTTAAAAAATGTTTAAAAAAATGGCACAATATTATAATCTAAGGGCTGACTTCTCGTCCGCCTGTTAAATTTAAAGGAAGCTTTAAAGCCTGATTTTCCATACGATTCCAAGGTTTAATCATTACTTTAAATTTAATAAACGGATGAGCAAACGGACCTAAGACTGCAAAAAAAGTAGAACTAAAATTTAATTAGTAAAACGTAATTGCGTTTTCATTTTTCTTCCTCCATCTTATCGATGGTTGACTGTATAAATGTTTCGTTAACCAATTTTGTCGTGAATGCAAATTTGTGTGTACACTTTTAATTAACGTTAAAGGTTGTTTACAGCCGTTATTGGTGTTGGAGTTTTTCCAGCACTGATTTGACTTTGGGGCCCGTTGGCGATTCCTAAATTTCGTTGGCGCTCGGCTGTTTACTGATTAGCGCAAAAAAAAAAACCAAATAGAAAAACCACAAGTAAAATAATAGACAGCAAATCAAGAAATCTAATATTGAATCACGAAATCGGGCGGCAAACGAACCTGCAGCCGAACCCGTACTCCATACATAATTTGCTTAATGTTTACTTATGCTAATCGGGGACATTAATCAGACTTGTTAACAACATTGAGCACGAGTCGCAAGGGGTCGCCGCCGCCGATTTCCGCCGTAAATGCCAAACAAATCAACAGTCGCACCGAAATTACTTCATTTTTCGTAACTTAAATTGATGGATTATTAAATAAGAGAGAGAAAAATGTTCAAAAGATTACAAAGCCCCCAAACAAAACAATCAATGCTGGAATGCCCGATGAGAAATCCGAGAAAAATGAATTATCATGATTTTCTAAACAAATTTTTCGGTTCAAAAACAAAATATACAATACTTTTAACAGATCCTAAAGAATACATTGTACTAATTAATTTATTTACCAAGAAAGACTACTAAGACCAGAAGAATTGACCGCTAAACACCCTGAAAAATGCAGACGCATGCTTAATTTTTCTAATTATATTAATTAAATAGAATTGAACAGCGGAAAATCGTGTTGGCCCTTGAGTAACATCATTTTAATTATACCACTAACCACTTTGGTAACAAGATCGAGCAGTAAATTTCCACATGGGCACGCTTTTAACGCACGTGCCAACACAGCAACAACAAACAACCTCATCTGCAGAACAACAACAACAACAACAACAATGGTAATAGCAGCAACGAAGCGCAGTGCAAAGCAAAATGCAACCAAACAATAAACCAACTCCAACACAAAAGAAAGTCGAACAAAGCACAAACAACAAAGGCTCCAAAGGGGCTTCCAAGATGAGAGGAAAATATATATGTGTGTATGTATGGTACATATGGGGTTTACCAAAGCCGACGCACTTTTCGCTTTTGAAACGACTTAAGCGGAACCAGTTTCGGAAATATAAAAAAGAAATAGAGTTTTAAAACTGATGAAATGCCCATGATTTTTCCAATTTACGCCTATCGCGTTACATGTGTATCCCCCCATAAAGGTGAGAGTAACCGCCTTGCCCATTATCTCTAGGTTGAACTACTCTTAAGCATACAAAAAAATGTATTTAAATATTTTCAGTTTAAAGGATAGCTATTAATTTATTTTTATTTAGCCCAACTTTAGCCCAACGAAAAGCAAATGACTAAATAATTTTTCGAAAATGATTATAACAGAAATTATATATCATCATCATCCAAACTATAGAGATCTCAAAATGTTCCCAACTTCCTAATGTTGGGTATTAAAACATATTTTTTGGGCTTATAATATTAAGTTTGTAGTGTCAATTTTTAAAATGTTGGCATTTCATTACTTTTTAAGCTACGATAATCCAAAAGCCCACTTTAAAGGGCATGGCTAGTTAAGAAGAAACCAAAATTTTTCTGCGGAGGCGTTGAGAGAAGAAAGGGGAGATGAGGTGATTTTGGAGTGGGGATGCGAAGAATTCGTGGAACAGGGAAAGGTGTCGAAAGCGTAGACAAATATTACAAATTTAATTATGACAAGGTGACTCGGCTACGCCTCTCTACGCCACCTCTGCCCACCTGACCCCCTTCTTCACCGCCACTGCTTCGGTTCATAGGGAAATTCAACTATGAAAATTCAGTCGAAATATTTTTCGGTTGCTTGGCTTGCTGACTTCTGGCTGACACTAATGCCTTTAATGATCCATGTTGTCGCTCAAGTTGAAAACTGCCATTTGACTCCCCATTGTCTTTGGGCTCTGTCGTCAGCACTATCAACTCGATCAGTGACTGGCTAAACTCCTCGAGTTCCCTGGGAAACATTACGTGATTAAATTGGGGAACATGAGGTCAGAAGAGTGGAAAATGAGTTGATTATTAAATAACTTATGAGATTTAGCCTCCATTACTTAATATTTAATAATATTCTTGAAATTATTTCCCGGTTACTGAATTTATTTTCTTTCTTTTTATAAACGAATTTAATTTTATTGCAACAAAAATTCAGTTTGTAGTCCCGATCCTGCTGGCATTGTCACACACCGTCTCGTAGTCCTGGTGCAAATCTTGCTGTAATCTTACCAGCTGCCGATGGGTTTTGACGAAGAGTACCATCGAGATGGATAGATTGGCAAGCAGACTGCTTCTCACCTGTTCCACGGTGCTCTGCTGGTAGATATTGCCCCCAGAAACGGTACAGGTGAGTCCATTATCGCGACCTTCCAGTAATTTTAGGATGTTCTGCAGCTTTTTGATGCGTTCCTTAAGAACATCCTTCTCGATGGTCAATTCCCGTTCGCGCTGTCGCTGTTGCACCAGGTAATCTAAAACCTCATCGGGAATGTTCGAGATGGCCTCTTCCACGGACATTTTTTAGAATTTGGTTTAAAACCGAGTGAATTTTGTATTTCTATTCTGTAATGACATTGACTTAAAACAATATCTTTTTTTGGCTTTGACCCGTTAGTTATCACAGATTAGTTAAACATTTAAGTCAGCCTCTTAGGAGGTCCATTGTGAAATCTATTTGCTTTAAGCCAATACATGTCATTTGGTTGGACACCTCCGAATGTAACTTAATGAATTCATATTTTTCCAACATCTTCTTATGCTTCTTCACACCTCCGAGTTAGCCACTATTATGATTTCATCTGGGCGAAACAAAGACGGCCCATGAGATCTTCTGTCGAGTCCACAATGGCAATGCTAATCACATTAATAAATTATCCGCACCTCCGGTTGGAGCCTCTCATCTATTGATTTTGATCGTCGGTTCGTGTAAATGAAATATTCTATTGGGGGAATTGTTTTTGCCGCATTCTCGGCTGGACATTTGCAGTGGCTAAACATTAATTTTTCTCGCTCCCCTCCCTTGATTTATTCAAATTATTTTTAATGGCCTTTTGTTGTTGACTCTGTCACTATGCTAAATGGCAGTACAAATTCCACGAGTTTATTGGAATTTAGCGTACTCTATGACTATTGTGAATTAGTTGGAATTGGCTGACATCAGAGGGGCAAAGACTTATATAAATGGGTTTTTGATGCATTTATAAATTCGTTGGTGTCGCTTGGATAAATTCCCTAAATTGTTCGATTAAATTTTATTAAATACTATAAAGGAAATAAAATGTTTATTGTTTGTTAAGCGTACCATATAAAGTGGAAGTTAAATATTTTTAAATTATTTGAATAATTAAAATAAATTTAAAGAACACTGCTAGATGAATTAGATTGTTTTATATTTTTGTATTCAAGTGAAGCAGCTTGTTTAATAAATCCAAGGTATTTCACGTATAAAGATAATTATCCTATAAATAGTGTGGTAATCAAGGTAAAGGTAATATGTATAAGCCATAAGTCGGCGTGTCTCAAGTGTTCCTTGAACTTTCTCAGTTCGTTTCCATGGAATTACGCTTGAACTTGCTTTATGAAACAAGTTCTCCTGCTCTCTGATTTCATATAACCAAACACACAAAAGACCACACGCGTTTTGGGTGCCATTTATGATCATTTAATCCTTTTGGGCAACCCAACAATAGCCAACACCACACCAAAAACGACTACATCAAGCGGAAACCCAAAAAAAAAGGGTGTGCATTCGTGTGGCAGGGGACATTCAGGTTGATTTATACGATCGCAGGGCGATTCATATTTCTATGGCTTTCACTGTCGCACATAAATATAATTTTTGGAGTGCGACACCCACAGCACTGAAAATTAAACCGAAATGAAGACATTCAAATGTGAGGCAAGGTGTGCCAAACACAAATTTATGTAAATTTTCGCTGTCTGTTTCTTAATAAACTTCTTTGGCTTCTGGATTAGTTGAATCTGCCGCACCTCCTAAAATCTCTTTTCATTTTTTGCTTGACCTGGCAATAAGTTGCCATTGTAAAATTTCCGATTTGTGCAGGGCTTTTACCACTCGAAAGTTGTTTTCATTTACCTTTACACATTTGTATGGCTCTTCAGAAAATTTCTCTAATTTCGTTTTACTTGTAAAAGGAAAAACAAAACCCAAAACTTCAACGTGTGTGGCCTTTGCTTTTCTTTTAGGAAGGGCAAAACCTTTACAATCTTACAGAACTTACCTTCACTCTTTCGAGTCGTATTTTTTTACAACTTACCCATAAATGGGAACTACTAGAGACCCATGTGAGAGTCGAGCTACTGTTTAACCGGTTGGTCAGGCAAATACTGAAATCTGGAACAAATCTATTAACCAGGCAGCCAAATGAAATGTCCCCTGAAAGTGGGACCAAGTACACTAAAATTAAACACTCTCCATGGAATGTGGCTTAAACTGGATTTAGCTTACTCTCTAATGCAAAAAAAAGTATAAAGCTTCCTTGATTAATGAACTTGGTAGATCGGCTATAGAAAATTCGCAATTATCTAAAAGCTTGAAACGGAAATAGCTGCATATTCAAAGCAATTATACAATTATATTGTTAATTAAAGGTGATTAGATAATGGCTATTTTACTATTTCATTAAATAACTGGAAGTTATAAAAATGAAATGTAATTACGTAAGATTTTTAGCCCATGAGTTCTTATCAATAAAACTATTTGAATTGTCTTTTTAAATGTTACATTTACTTATAAGGCTAGCAATTAGAATCAACCAACCCACTTTGGAATAATCCCAAAGAAAATAAATAATTAAAGTTCTATCAAAAATCCCACTTTATATGGCCAACCATTACTCGAGAAGTAAAGAAAAATATTTTTACATGCTCTGTTGTTTTATAGACGATTGCCTCATTCAGCACTTGAGATCGTTTAATTCGCACTTAAAAAGAGATACAAATTTCCAGCTAATTTCCATTGTAACGTTGTCAGTTGAGGCGAAAAGCTGAAGTGAGACCATTAAGACGACGCGACATTTGCAGTTTCAAACACTTAAACATAAGTACAATAAACACATAGTGCATAGGCCTTAATTTGACAACTGAGAGGCATGAAATGATACCAGACAGCTCGACCAGGCCACTCATTAATCTGTCTAAAGAACGTTCCGAGCGAAATCAAGAAAACATTTTTGAGTTCACTTTGGAGCCGGGGCAAAAGTTGTAAATTGATTTGCCACCAAATATGGCAGACAGCTCGCTCTAAATTTCTTGTTATTTATAAATTCGCCAAAGAAGCAGAAACATAAAACAAACACATAAAAATCATTCATGGATCATTCGAGTAATAAATCTAGGCGAAATATTTCCATTTCGGGGGGAGTTTCAAAGTGTTCGAAATGTTTTTCCTTTTGGCTCGCAGCATGATCGGAATATATAATTTCCAAACTGAGATCATTAAGAGCCACAGCAGGTGGAATTCGTCGAATTGAATGTTTTCATAAATTACAAATGCTAAAGCGAAACATTTGCATAGATCCCCCCTCCCTTCAGCCTCCTGCTACCAATCCAGTAGGAATTGTGTTAAAGCTTATTAATTTTATTTGGCAGACGCGGAGTTGGTCAAAAGCGTTACACACAAAGATTATAATAAATTTGTTTTATTGCAATAAATCGAGATCTAAATGAAATCACGGGCTAAGCTGTTTAATATGGAAATTATTGGGTTTTTGAGATTAAATGGGGTGTTCTGCTTAATTTATCTTATTTACTTTGTATATATTTACTTTATGTAGTTAATTCCTTTTTAAAAAAAAACGTTCTATTTTTTAACACAATTTTTAAATTTGTATATCATTTCTTAAAATATTTTTAATCTTTTATAATATCAATCAATTTTGGTCTGAAAATGTCTCTGAATGCCCTCAATAAATTTATTCTGCGTTATTTATTCGCTTAATTTCCAAGTTAAACGAAAAAATCTCAAATTAATGAGTGAGCTTTTAAGATGGTTATTTCGATCACCTGGCAGTTGCTCATTACCATATTCGTTTTATTTATTTATTTTCGACACTTTATTTGTAACGATTTGAAATATATTTACACAATTTTCAAATGAAAAATGTAATTCCAATTTAAATCAAACAGTTTCCAAATAAGCCGCTGTGTGTTGAACTCGAGTTGGAATATTTTTGTGACCCCCGCTTATCGCCTCGTGGGATGTCATAAATTTTGTGAATTATAGTTTGGCTTGAGCTTGAACCTTAAATTTATAATAGTTTTTGACTATTGATAAGCTCCAGCAGCAGCCGATTTAATTTTCAATTCCAATTCGTGAGGGTCGCGCAATTGAATTCTTTTTATTGTGTCAGAATTTATGTTTCGGTCAGTAATATTTTATGGCATTTTCTTGAAGGCCAATAAAAGAGATTTCTACTTTATTTTATGGCCTTCTGTGTGTCGTGGAAAGTTGTTTAGCATACTCGTATTCGATTTTTCATCTTTCACTGCCTCGCCCCCTGATAGTTTTTAATCACCCCGAAATTAACTGTGCAACACCAACGCATTTTAATTGTTTGCCAACGAGCCACAATTTATGGCTCGCCTTGTGTCCCCAATCAAAATCGAAATGGAAATCGAAATGCACTCGCGCTCTGATTCGAATCCCCCTTCATTGGCTTCAATTCTATTTTAAGGTCTTTTCAATTTGCATGCCCAATCGATGATCATCAGCGGGCTTGATTGGTCCAGACAGACATTCGCGTTTGGACTATATTTCTGCGCTCTCCGATTCAGTTTATTTTATGAATTTATTGGCCGGGAGTTGAATTTTAGTGCTGGAAAGTCTGGACTTCCTGTGGTGCATTTACGCTGTAAAACTTAATTTATTTTAGCTTTCCAAACTGGCAACAAAGATTTTCATTTAGTTATAATTGGATATTGAAGTAGATCGTATTACTGGAACAATTAAATAAATTGATAGCATTTTTTTGGAACAATGGCATTTACTTATTCGTGACTCTAACTGTCGTTTAAAGTTCTCGCAACAATTGAACAATTCATAAATATTTTCAGACCACAATTGATTTAAAGGCTTAGACCCCGAAATAAAACGGGAAATTTCGGGAGCAAACACTCCAAAATCAACTTACCAACACAGAAAAAAATGTTAATTTGTTTTATTTTTTTAAATCTTTCATTAGCTCAATTTAATCGACTTTTATTAGATTATATTTAAATCGGAAAAGATTACAAATAAAATGATATAAATATTATTATTTTTAAGATTTAAAAATAATTACATAAAAATGTTATTTTATTCGAAAATACGTCCTATTTATTTCTGTGCACCCAGCTAGCTGCTCACCCCTTCCTTATCTCCTGTCAAAGCCATAATAATTCACTTTCGGTTCAAACAAATGACAACTGCAAATATTGACAACGAACCAACTGAACCAACTGGCTGTCAATCTCCCCCATTCGAAAACCCACCCTATCTTTGTCCAAAATGCAGCTAAATGAAACCCTTTGTGGGTTAATAACAATATTGACAGGTGAAAACCATAAACTGTCCCGGAAAAGGAAGTCTGGCGATTCAGGGATTTGCCCTCGATAAGGACACTTCCTTTTCGATTTTTGGCAACTGACTCACAGTAGCCGAGCCAAACCTATTTTAACAACAAAAGAAAATTCACTTAGACCTACCTGACGACGGAATCCGCCGATGCCACATTAACATTACAATTGTCGGTCGGAAAGCTAAGCTGTAAATGCTCTCGGGCTGTGATACCAACAAAATTAGCATATTTGGCCACTGTGTCTTGTGGGCCAAGACAAGAAACTGAACCCGACAATGACTTAGGTAGCCGTAAATTGTCATGGGCCGGCAATGTTTTGGGTCTATGCTAATGTCGATCGTTGTCTGCCCACACTTAACTCCCGGATCGGATCGGATTGGACAGGATGGGATGGGATCGGCATAGGATCGGTCTGCCTGTGAGTCGCTCCTCATGTTTGTGTTTCCCTCGGGTTCGTGCTGTGGCATAAACAAAATCGGAGGATCGTGTTGCAGTTGCATTTAAGTTGAGGTTACTGCACCGACGGTCCATTTGATGGTAGTGTTTGTTCTCCGTACCAGCTGTGTTTTCACACTCACTCTCGAGTCAAGGTTGACAATGATCTGAATAGCTCAGCTTGGGATGCACAGCTCGCAACAAAGCCAACTGCAGTAAAAACTTCTTAAATAAAAGCGAAACCTTGGCAGCTACAGCAAAGAAAATAATACAAGACCCTACCAAACGAATGAGCAAAACTAATCCCAAGAAAACGCGTTATATCTGTTGTTTTCCTTAAATAAGAATTTTATTGTATAGGTTTAAGCATGAATGTTTCAAGTTCTGTAAACTTTCTGTCTTTTCTTATCACACAGATTTTTACAGTATAGGAAAACAAATTTTAGTTTACTCTTCTTTTATTTTACCAAGATATGACGGAAAATTAGTCATAAATATTCTTTTATAAAGATTTTGGGGTACATTTTTCTTTAACTAAAATAAAAGATGATTTCTCAAAACACCATCCCATCTATTATAGTCATTAGATTTGGCGCCATTTCTATGATTCGCTCATCAATTTTTCTGCTGATGAATCTGAATTCCCAAAGGCGAAAAAGATAGGATCAGTTTGTCTCTGAAGGTCTGAAGGAATATCACGAGTCCTCGAACCGCAACGTCGGCAATACTAATGTCAATTTGTCAGGCTACCAAATCGAGGCACAGCAAGTGCCCGTCCCACCCTCCAGACGGTTCTTCCTCTTCCCTGAGCTGCGGATCCCGGAGATTCTGAAGAGTCGTTCACGTTGTCGTTGTCGTATGATATATGAGCGCCCTGCCCAGTTGCTGCTGCCACGGTCGCTGTGGCTGCCGTAACCGCGCCTCTTAACTCCCAAGCAGACACTGAGAAAAAATGAGTTTTAGAATCCTGGTGGAAGTTATAAAAAGTATTACCTGTGGGAATGTATTTTTTATTCAATATATTTAAAAATATTTGAGGTTAATATCATGGTTTAAAATGCGCGGATCCACGGGGATGATATGGGCGATATATTACACCTCAATCACATCTACAAGGCCCCATAACAATATCCTAAGTATTAGTTAAATTTTTGAGTATCCAAATGGAGACTCTTATTCTGTCATTAATAGAAAACTGATTCTTAAACAACAATGATTTTGTACCTCAATTCCCTGTTACTAAGTTATCTAATATATTAAAATTGTTTTTGTAACTTATTCTCAATTACGCTAAGAAGTATGCTACATTTTTGTGCATGGTGATGTCCTTTATATTAAGCAATATAAAAAGCAATTATAAGATTGCTTAAGACATATTAAAATATTTTTTTTGCACAAATCTGTAATATAATATGTATAAATGTAAAAAAAAAACGAAACTAGCTACTGGCATTTAAAATTAAAAACTATATACTACATTTTCTTTTTTATTTTTTAAAGTTTCTTATGAATAACTATTTTCTATAAATTTACTAAAAAACCCATAACTTTTTTTTATTTTCTTTGAAGGTAAATTTTTCCTGAGTGCACGTTTGAAGCCAAGCCGAAGTTGAGCCGAAGTCGAGGCCGGTTATGTTCGTTGGCAGCGCTGCGACTGCGACGTGGGCAGCGATTTTTAGCCTGTTCTCCGCTCTTCGCTTTGCTCCAACGTTTGTTTGTTTTGCGTTCGGGCTTCGTTTTACGTTTTTGTTTTCATTTCATTCGCCTCTCCCTCATTCTCTGTCTCGGTCTCTTCGCGCAATATCGGCTGACTTGGAACCGCAGAGCGCTCTACAGTTCAGTTTCTTGGGACTCTCTGCGCGGTTAACTTCGCCGATCGGACATGCGCGACTCTATATCTGAAAAATCAAAAGAGTAGGAAGGCTGAAAAAAACCCGTCTCGCTATATTCGTCGGCCGTGTTGTTGGTGTCTATCTGTGTCTTTTGTCAATGTTTTCAACCCAACTCAAGGGGAAGCCATTTCGCCTTTCTTCTGAAAATTTTCAGAAAAATACAAAAATTGTATGGAAAATTCCAAAATTGTTAGTGTTTTTAGTGTGAAAAGTGAACATCAGTGATCAGTGAAAAGATCGTCTGGAGAATAAAAAACACGCGCTTTACTCGGTTCCCCTGCTTATCAAGCACATGCCTATATTATACAATTTACCAACAGTCTCTTACAATCTGTTCGCCGCAAAAGTTGAATGGAATAAATTTTAATCTTCTTTTTTGCACCATACGTGACAATAAATGAAGTAAGTTTCGATTGTCTCCATCTGTAATCGGCATTTTTTGCTGTTTACATTTTTTGTAATATTTTTTGAGGAAGTGTAAATTCTTACAACAGAAATGTATTTTTGATATTGAGATTCAAAATTAACATGTTTGTGTTTGTGTTTATTTATTCAGTGATTGTGTTATTTTCTACAACATAAAACTAAATCAACTACTTAAAGTTTAAATTACATAATAAGATAATAATATAAAGATTTTTGTTTGTTGTTTCTCGCATACATTTATTTAATTTTGAGTAAAAATTAAAATCCGCAAGTCTCTCAAAAATTTCACAAAAAAATGATCAGTAAACTGTACAATAGTTTCTTAAATTCTTAACCATTACAACTTTATTTTCTTTTTTCCAGCATGTTAATATTAAAACTTCCTAAAATGATAAACCAACTGTGGCTTCTGCTGCTTCTATCACTCTTAACCCTACAAGGCCCACAGCCTTCGACCGGCATGGGTTACAAGACGCAATCGAATGTGGAGTTGCTGGAAAACGATTCGCGATACATCTCATATCAAGGTAGGTTCGATTCGAGGTGGGGATTATCAAAACTACACGAAACTGTGTCAATTGCAAGGCAATCAATCAAGTTGGCCACTTGAGGGGAGCTGTAAATTGGGTTGATGTCTGTCAGAGTTCTAAGTGGTTCCGAGAGTCTGCACTCGATGGCGCAATGTTCGGTCAACAGGTGGCATTCCATCCATTCCAGCCATTCCACCCATCTGCCCACCTGTTTGCTGGTCCGGCATGTCAACAATGATCTCGATTTAAAAGAATTCCCCGACCAGCCGCTTTTATGACACCCCAATACATCCGTGTATCTGCTGCTTTTAATCAGAAAACGCTTCGTGTTTTGCATTTTGCTTAAATATTTGTTCTTTTTTCTTGTTTTTTTTTGCAATGAAATTTATCTTGAAGTCCGGCTCAAAATGTGAACTCAGCTCAACGTTTTGTTGACAATGATTTTAATTTTTGTATAGCGCTTTTTTCACCTCAAGTTAAATATTAAAAATTCGATGGAAATTTTTTGTTTACCCAAGAAAAGTAAGAGCCCTCCAGTTGCACTTCAATTTTACGTAATTTATATTTCACTAATGAATCAGAAGGAAGAGAAAATCCTTAATGGAAATGGGTCTTTTGTTTTGTGATATAATATGGTTAATGATCCATTGTTTTGCCGATGGGGCACTAAATAGTTACAGTTCACTAACTAGTTTTAAATGTTTTAAATACGAATTACAATTATATTTTTTATTCCAGATTTAATGTCAACGGCCAAACGATTTTACGATCCCGAAACGAGTTGGTACTCGGAAATGCTGTTCGACGTGGCCAGGAACCAAGTGATAGTCGGCGCCAGGTAAAAACCGGGAGCCTATTATTATTATAGTTATTATAGATTTTGTTTCCGGTCTATTGAGTCACGGTTAAGCCGTGTACCTAGTCATTATGACTGTTTTCTTTTTTGTTATACTTTAAAACCCCAAAGATATGCTTATAGGACTCACTTTTTAATTAGTCGCACCGATAAGTGGGTCATTATTTTGGACGTTGATAGCGATAACGAACGAAAGGGAAAACACCCCCGAAAATAAATCTTCAACTAAGCGTTTGTTGGCTTTGGGTTATCAGCACAAGGCATTACGTAAAATTCAACTATCTGAGGAAAATAAACAGATGCATTGCGTACTCGAAACGGGTACCGATAATGTTCTGTTTCTGGTTTTTGGCGTATTACGCAAGCTAAAAAAAAATATACAAAATCGTATAAAAATGAAAGTGCACGCACTGCTATACCAAAAATCTTAAGCAAATCAGCGAAGCTCGAAAAAAAAACCCTCGAAGAGAACTTATCTCGAGTACCTGCTGTGCGCAAGGGAATAAATAAAGATAATTGAGTGTAAAAAGAATAAAAAAAATTATAAAAGAGGGGAAAAAGAAAAAAACGAAAAGGTAACCAAATAATATTGCAGGGCCGAGAGAGAAGTGGTGTACTCCATTTATTTGTTGAGCAATTTAATGTACGAGTACGCGTATCTGTATCTGTAGCCGGGTTACTTGGTTCTTGTAGTTTGCTTTTCATTTACGCGCTGAGAACTCGGTGCTCGAAGTTTATTTGTTTCTGCCTCGCATAGATATATGGATGCGACACCTCTCCAGTGGAAACCCCGATAAGGTACACACATGGACGCAGATGTCTATAGTGTCGTCACGTTGATAAACCCACCAATACGTGCAGGGCCCTTAACCCATTGCTGCCCAGGGGAAGTCGTTTATCATTGCCGTTGTCGTCAATCATTTGTCAGACTTTTCAGTTTTTTTCTCTGTTCTTTATAGCACACGATTTTCACTTCGACCGAAACTCTACTCTATTATTTTTTTCACACTCATATCATACCAACCTCTGAATTATGGCACAACGATAAGAGTGGCCCGATATAAAAACCGTTTGTAGCGAAGGGCAGTTGCTCCAAATAGGGAATTATGGTGCTGCCTGTAAGTAGGCGGCCAGATAGGCAAGTGGGCTTTATTAACCACATAAAACGTAATTTATTTTTATAATGTGTGGGCTTAGTTGATAAAGGCAACTAATCAAAGGGACTAGACGGGTTTTTAGATTGCAGCAGCCGCTGGGATTTCTTTTTAACATTTTGCCTAAGACTTCGTTTAATGCCTTGAGCTGGTCGATGAAAGATAAACTTTTATGTCGGGAAAGTCAGCGTGGCTTCATTATAAATATCGTCAATATATGTCACAAATTTGGATCAATCAGTTATTTTAATTTACATTTTCGAAAGGCCCCTTAATAAATGGTTTGTATTTCTTATAAATTAATAATCAAGTCAAAAGCAAATCCTTTAAGTCAGAGTAAAATCAAAATGTCCAAGGTAATATTTTACAATTATCTTCAAGATAAACACCATCTTAAATCAAAAATCCAAATCTCTGTTGAACAGTTTAGATTGCGTGCTTCGCCCCAGTGTTCAACTATCTACCTCGGTGCTTTCCCGATTTCAGTTCTAATCTCTAGTTAACCACCAAAGGTTAACAATCATCCTTGTTAAAGCGGTTTCGATAAGGCTTCTTTCGAATAAGAAATAAACATAGAGCTCACTTTGAAGACCCGCAAGTCGAAAGCCACCGAATGACCCTCGGAGTTGCCGCAACGCAAACCATCTCTAATCGCAGACCGCATTTTAATTGTGGCAATCCGCCCGAACATATGGGCACTTCCAAAATGTCGCTCGGGACATTTGCACACCTTTAAAGTTGAAAATAAATTGTAAAACAATGGATTTTAATTTTAATTATGGGCTTTTCTTTTCACTCTTCCCAAGCTCTATTTTTGGTAAAAATCTTATTTTTGTACCACTTTTAGTTTTTAAGATATCGGTAAAAAACTGCCGTATTCGCTCGGGACAAAAATAGAAGTGGATTTCGAGGAAGTTCATACAACACCAGAAATTAGCAAATTCTGATGGAATATTTGAATGCGATTTTTTTTAGAATGTTGTTCAAACATGTCGCTGTGAAATACTTTTGGTTTTACTCAAAAATTCTTTGCCGTTTTTTTTTTATGCAGTTTCAACCACATTCGCTCGGGACATGTCGCTCGGGACATTTTTTCCGACTGTTTTGTGAAGCGGATTTCTTTACCTCTATCTCTCAATTGCTGGATGTTTTGCTTTTAACTTAATAGTTTAGCATGTGAATGAAGCATTCAGTACAGAAAAATGTTACATATTAGCATTCCTATAGGATAAATTAACAACAGAAGACAGGTCCAAAAAATAACAAAAAAATAGCCAAAAACTGATTTTTGCGTATATTGGTGGAGTTTGTCATAAAAATAATCAAACTATACTCCAAATTTGTAGTTAAGCTCAGTATCCAACTAATTAGAAAGTAATATCGGGGCAAAATCATGTGGAAATATGTTTTATTCAAGTTTCAAGGTTTTTGGCTTGGTGGACTTTTTTTTGGAAGTGCCCATATCTAAACTAGTTGTACAATGGTTTTTATGATTTCTGCGGTTAGGATGGGCAATTGCCGAAGAACTGGTAGTGGTGGTAATACATACTATACCATATACCATAGACTACGGCATCTGCGGGGGACTGTCGTGTGCAGATGTGCTGGTGAGTGCATGCTCCTTGTATCTGGACTGCAGCACACTTGACACGACTGCAAGATCGGATTACTGCCAGCCGCCTGTTGACGGGCTCTGGAAAATGGGAATGGAATCGGAATCGAGAGTGGAATGGGCATGGAATCGGGACTGGAATGGGAATGAATATGGGACTCCTCGAGTCTTTTGCCCGTGTCCCATGACGAGTGACGAGGCAACTTGGTCGGTTGGTAACCATCGCGTAATTTTCTGTCATGAACGGGGAACTAGAGAGGGGCTTGGGTACACTGAAAAAAATTAATAATATATATATCCATATTATATTTTATATAATATAGTATCTATTGTAAGGATATAAAAGTAAAGCCGTTTAAAAAACTAATTTGTGTTTTATTAAACCTTTATCGCCTCCCTCACAAATCTCAAATTTTACATTATTTGAAATATATATTGGGACATAGGTTCGGATTACTTCAAGAACCTTTTAAATTTATAAAGTATTCAAATTCTGTTTTTATATAAATCTGAAGCAAGTTTTGAAACTATTTAGAAGCCAAATTTAAATATTTGAATTTTTGGTGGGAGCACCGAAGTACAACCTTTTTAAATGTCAACATAAAACTCCCATTGTCTTTAATATCACAGTGCATTGGGTTCGTGGTCCCATGCAACTGGCCGAAATTTGATATAGACTGCATTAAAATAATATTGCGTTTTGTTTTCGCTTTCGTTCGCTCGCCTTCGAGCAGCAACCTTTTTGTGAGTTCCTGCATTACCAGTACATATAGTATTTATATGTATTATTTTTCGGAGGGGTCGCTTTGTGTTGTGCCTTGTCGCAAATGGAGCATGCAAATGACCTGCTGGGAAGCATTTGAAATGTTTATACATATGGCCAAACAAAATGTTATATAAACAAGGAAATTATTTTCGTGTGTTGTGCATTAACCATAATACTGTCTTTCCACTCGAATATCGTCGAGAGGACGATGTTAGGAGGTCTATGTAGTCAGGGATTTCATTACAATAAAAAATATCGAACAACTTTTCTTCAATATTAAACAACATTTACTAAACCCTTACCATGATCGTTGGTAAGGAAACACCCAAAATGCCCAAATTACTTGTAACTCAATCTCTGAACTACAAGATACAAAAATGCACCTGTGACAGTCGACGTCAGCTCGCCGGCTACTGGAGCACACGGATGCCGAAATTGAAATCAAAATTAATCAAACCGTGTTGCACCAACCCCCTTGAAGGCAGGGGCGTATTAAAGGGGAGCAGGGCATTCAGCAAACTGTGCGCAAGTATTTTGCATATTTCTATTAAAAACCTCTTGAGCGGCTCCAGACTGACACATAGCTATTCGAACGCGGATTGAGATTGAGAACAAGGAATGCGGTAGCGTAGGCCGAGCTCAGAAAAGAGTACAGGCAAAACTGCATAAAGTGGCTCAACATTAAAATTGCATAAGCACAAAATGACCGGAAAAATTAAATAATTAATATTTTCTATATTTTATTTTTTTAATACTTATGTAGATTTGAATGAAAATTAAATAATTTAAATTTAAAAACATAAAATTGGTTAAAAGAAATTTAGAAATTTATCTAAAATTACATACCCAAGTAAAAAAATATTATATTTGGTGGTTTTTTATTACATTGCAATGTTCTGTATATCTGTTCAAAATTATTTTTTGAGTAATGCCAAAAATTCTACTTTTGGAAGTTTGTCTGTGACTGCTGCAGTTTTGGCAGAGATTAGCGACGGCCAGTGCAACGGCAATTTTAATTACAAGTAACCCATTTAAGCCTGGCCAATGAGATTTGCCGCCGGAGCGGCAGACAGAACGCCCACGCACCTGGCGCACCGGCGGCCACTTGAGCAACTGTTGGTAACTCCCAGGTATAAAATAACTGGCAATAGGCGACTGGCGGCGGCGACACCGCATTTTTAATAGCCCCAGTCCCAGCTGAATATGTATCCGTATCTGGGGCCCCAACTCCACTTGCTCCACTGAGCTTACAAAGAGGCCTTTTTGTTATCTTGTCGCGCTTGTCGTTCAAATAAAAGTTGGCGGCGGCGCAAGGTGTGCGAAATATGCGAACTGCGAATGCTCAATGGTGCACACACTCGAAAATATCAATACCCCATCTCTCGAAGACATGTAGATCATTATTGTGGCTATGTCGGTGATGCAAATGGGTCATGGCGAATTTAAAAGCGTTACAGTTTACCCAATTTTTATAGTTTTTTGTATATTTTATTTTATTTTTATTGAGTATTACAAAAGTTAAACCTAGTTTTGCTGAATGTATTTATTTTTTGAATCATTCTTGCACAGGAAAAAATGAGCGCCCGATTCAACTGTTCATTTTAAGTTATTACCTTATCCCATCTTAAAACTTTAAATGAGAATGAGAAAAATTATTTTTTATATTACATTTAAAAATTTACAATTGTGTTAAAAATGGGAAAATCACTCCCTCACACCCTTGAGGCTTTCACAAGAATTATTGATGGCTATAAACTTATTACTTCAACTTATCATTACGTGCTGTTTAGGTCCGTTTCAAAAATTTTGCGATAATTTCTAAGAGCCGCCGGGAAGCTTAGAGAAGATACCGCAAGCTGCATATGATGATGATCGAGCGAGCAAACATCCGAGTATTTCCATGTACAATGTTGGCATATTTGCACGCACGCGCTCCGTAAAGATAGCGAATGGCAAAGAATAATGACAAATACAAATTAAACAACTAACAAAACAAACCGAAACAGCACACGAGATTACGAGCAGAACCGAGTCGAAATAAAAAAGAAAGAACGCGGGGAAAGAAAAGCTATACATGTGTATCGGCCTTTTTTCACACCTAAGCGGAATTTTCGCTGCTGCCAGGTGAAACGAAAGATAAAATCAGGTGAGGCGGCTGATGAGTGCAAAAAAGGGGTGCGGGGAGGTTTTTCGAAAGCCAATGCTAATTGACAAGGCCGTTGCTTATCGCTCACTGGGTGTTGTTTGTTGGTTCTGCTTAAAAAACAGCTCATTGAACTTGCCAGAGCCACAGAAAAAAATTTAAATAGTTTTTTGGTTCAATTAGATATAAAAAACCTCAATAACGTTTAAATCTTTAAAGGAGTATTAATATTTTAATAGCAGAAAATTTCAGTTTTGTGGTTTACTTTATAATGTAAAAATAATGTGAGCAGTAAAAGTCTTTAATACTCTTGTATTCTTTTATTTAAAATAGAAACGACTTAAAATTTTTGTAGTCTTCAAAAGCAGTACATAAAAATTTTATTTTTCAATTTTTATACCATAATTTGGGGATTTTGTTGACCATCTTTGATTTATTGGTTATTTTTAGGACCGATAGCAAGTGGAACTAAGTAAACGATTGCGAGCGTTTTGTTAAATTTTCACCGCCTTCGTATAAGTAGGCATGGCAAATGTAATCATTTCGTTGAGGCCTCACTTGCCGGGGTACTCAACTCAACTTACCAAGAACTGTACACTGTGACGAGCACAATCAGCAGTAATTAATTTTCGCAGCCGTTAAGTCTAGGCGAAATTTACACACGACATGCTTTTTATTATTTTTTTGTTGCATTTTTGCAGTCACATTCCCCGGCTTTTGTCGTGTCATTTTCACATGGATATTTGAATGAATTAGTGTCGTTGGTGTTTTTTTTTATTCGATTTCCGGTTACGCCTCACTGAAAGCCTTTGAAAACACTCCCCGAACACTTGAGATCCACCCATCCGTTGATATAGGGGCTTTTCAGGCGCTAAGACGTCTGAGTTGTAATCTTGGGTTCTAATGCAGTTCTATGGCCTTTACGATTGCACTGTCGACTTATATGGGACTATAAACTTAAGAGTACTTACCAGTATTTCTATATTGACACGTTTCAGCTAACATAACCTTGCACAACAGCCCCTAACAGCGGTCAATAAATCCTAGAGAACTTGTCAATACTTCAAAGTCGCTAGGTACAGCACGAGTAGGGAACAAGGTTCAAATGGTATAAATGCTAGGATGTTGGCAATTAAAAGCCATATAATATGATCAGAATCTAACGAGTGTCTTTAGCACTTTAACACTAAAAAGTGCAATAATGTTGCAGAGAAATATGATTAATTGTGAAAGGGCTTAAAAAGCTCTTCAGATAACTCTGCCATTTCATGTGTGGTTTTATGACAGATCAATTAATTATCACTTAATCAAGGGTCGGAATTTAAGCGTGAAACATCCATGGAAGCCATATAATATTTGCATCTGCCAACGCCTAAAATACACCTTTGCTTTTAGTCGATCGCCGGCGATATTGACAGCTGCTCTGGGGATCTCACTTCGCATCGCGAATGTTTGGGAAGGGCGACTTGCGACCAATGTTTGTCGATGGCTGAGCTGCGTTTTTCGCAAATGTTGGCGTGTTTATTACCTCATCACGTACCGCTTAAGACGCACAAGCATCGCGTGGAGCTCGGGTTACACCTGAGCGATATACCTACCTATATATTTACCTGAGTTACAACTGGACGGGGGCCGAAGTGCCACGCGCCTTGCGCCAGCTGCAATCCGAATGATTGATATTGGGCGAGCTGGCTGACGATCCAGTAAATGCACGGGGAAAAATGTGTCGAAAGTTTAAGGGAAATTAAAAAACGCATATCTTATCTTACAACTCTGAAAAGATAATGCCATTAACGGAATATTATAAACTATTTGTAAATTATTATTATTATATGTTTGCTATAAACAGAAACTGCTCCCCTTTTCGCCAAGTGTATTACCAGCTTTGACCAGCTCCGCATTCAATTTATATCCTAAGGCCGCTAAACAGCCGCAAGTGACCATTAGATGGCCGGACTGTGGGCAGTGATCTCTTTTCTCGCCCGGCTCTTTGGCGACGTCTGGTCGGCGGCATTCCTTCTCAAGCCCAAGCACGGCGGCATTCTCCGTTTTCCATTCTCCATTCCAATCTCAAGTCCCCCTGCCAAATCGCCATCGCCATTGCGATCACCACCTTTTAGCTGGAAAAATGCCGCTGTCCAACTCGAGATGTAACCATTTAGCAATTGCTTCTCGCGCATTCGAATGCACTTGATCTATTGATCTTCGTGTTCGTTTCGCCAAATGCGCGTAGCACAGTGGTTATCTTGGAATCACTGCTGTAGTTCCACAGTGGTACTTCTGAAAAAGTTCTTAAAGTTAAATAGGTATGAGATTATCATCCAACATGCATTAAAAAAGATTAACAAGTTCTGAAATTATTTAATATATTTTAAGATCTCAAATTGTCCAATGATTTTATTTACGGTGGCGAAAAAGTTTGCTAATTGTAAGAGCTATATTTTATATCCTAGAATCTGGGTTAATGTCGTTTTTAATTTACCTATGACGACATTCTTATCGATGTTCAACCCTCGCCTGTGTCTTTGCCGATATCTCAGCCTTCAAGATCGCCCACAAACGTTTGATTTTCCAAAACTTTTCCGAGCTTTTCCAAATGGACTACCACTGTGCCAGGGCCAAGTTTCGTTACCTGTTTGCCTTGCAGTTCAATGCACTGGCGGCCAACCAGTTCAAAATTATGACAGCTGATGGCCAGGAGGGTGCGAGGGGGCCGCAAGTGAAGCTGGAGCCGGAGTCAGCCTTATTTGTAAACAATTGTGGGCCGCCTCTCTAACTGTTATTGCTGGCCAATCGGACGTCTTTCAACGGTCTTGCACTGAATAAAAAAATGGAAAATATTTCTGTGTCCTGACTAGATTTAGATTAAAATGATTTCATTTATTTTCTTGGGAATATTATATTTAAGTAACTTATTCCGTAAATATCCTTTATTTTTGTACAAAATGAAACTCGTTTTATAAAATTAATCTTAACTTTGTAACCATTTTTTTTAGATGCTTTGCTAACTTCAAAGTATCGGAATTCCGAGCATAAATTTATTTTATAGCTTTAAATATTTTATTTTTGGGAAATCTTGTGATTTTCTCTCCGTGTGAATACAGAAATACATGGAATTTTTGATTGTTTCCTTGCAGGGACACCCTGTACCGCATGTCTTTCGATCTGGAGCCGCTGGAGAGGGCCAGCTGGGGGGCCACGCCGTCGGAGATTGCCATGTGCCAGGCAAAAGGCCAGTTGGAGCGATGGTGTCGCAACTATGTGCGCGTGCTCCATAGCTACGGTGAGAACCAGCTGTACGCGTGTGGGACGAACGCCTTCCAGCCGAGCTGTTCGTGGCGCCAGGTGAGTGGTCGTCCGAGCCGACCAAGTTGTCCCAGCTCATTGGAGTCGCTGGCTCCAGACAGACGCGCCGTTTACCCCAACCGTTTTTCATATTTTTTTGTTGTTTTTGATTTTGCAGATGGAGAACCTCAACGTCACGGGTGTGGACAGCGGCGTGGTCAAGTGTCCATTCCATCCGCAGGCGAACAGCACCAGTCTGCTGCAGTCCAATGGCCAACTCTTCGTGGGCACCGCCACCGATTTCTCGGGCAGCGATGTGGCCATCCTGCGCACAGGAGTGCAGTCCAATGAGGTGGGTTTATTGGCCATCAATTAAGATTAGACCACACTGCGTATGAGTAATATTCGTGTGAGCAAAGATATCGTAAAATCAACAAAGTTGTATAAATCTAGTTTTTATTGCCTAATAGACTAATTTTACTAAAATTTTTTTTTTTTAGAATAAGTTTTGGTCAGGAATAATGAAAATTTTCGTTCTTACATTTTCGATCATATCACATTTACGTGGCCCCATATCAAGTTAAAAATGATCTTAAAAAAGGTTAAATTGACCTACGATTCATATCGATTTTTTTTTGGGTGTATATTCACTGATCGTGTTTTTACTTTAGTGTAGCACACATTGCAAATGATACATTTTTAAAATGCTCACTAATTTTAGTTAGTTTATTAAGTTAATTTGAAAACTAAATTGATTTTTTTGGAGTTAGGAATTTACCCATAAAATAAATTATAAATAATAATTTAATTATAATAATTTTGACTTTAGAGTAGCACACAGTGCGGATGATTAATTTTCAAATTTATGACTAATGTTAATTTGATAATTAAATTGTTTTTTCTTTAAGTGGGGAATTTAATTAAAAAATAAATTTAGACGCCGAAACTTTTTTATTCTTGTTCAAAGCTACGCAATGATTAATAATAAAATACAACTCTATGAACTGGCCTAGTAACACCACACCCCTGCCCACACTTCTAATGGTTCTATTATCCAATTTTCAGCGTTTTCTCCGCACCAAGCAGTACAACAACAACTGGCTGAGTGGAGCCCAATTCGTGGGAAGCTTCGAGGCTGGCAGCTTTGTGTATTTTCTACTCCGCGAATCGGCCGTCGAACACATGAGTTGCGGCAAGGTGAGTGATTACTTTTAATTTATATAATTTTTTAAACAACTAACAAAATTTATTTAAATTTTCAGGTGATCTACTCGAGGATTGCTCGTGTCTGCAAAAATGATATGGGCGGTGGTGGTCAGCTGCTGAAGGACAATTGGACGTCATTCCTTAAGGCTCGCATCAACTGCTCGCTGCCTGGGGAATATCCCTACTATTTTGATGAGATCCAAGGCATGACCTACGCCGAATCCGAGTCCATTCTGTACGCCACCTTCAGAACTTCGGGGTATGTTTTTCAGTAAAACTATAAATGAGGAAAAATTTTTATTAATTCTTTAATTTTCCCCCAATAGATCGAGCATTTATGGATCGGCAGTCTGTGCGTACAATTTGAGCTCCATCAACGAGGCGTTCGATGGGTTCTTCAAGCACCAGGAGCACCAGGATGCCGCCTGGCAGACGGTGAACGCCAAGCAGCGCAGTCAGTTCCAGTGCGGATCGAGCAGCTTTGGCCACTGGCTGGAGAGCTCGCGGTACCAGCTGATGGATGAGGCAGTGCAGCCAATTGGCGCCCAACCGTTGTACCACTCCAAGCTGGAACAGTTTGGCCGCTTGGCCTTGGACATCATAAACACTAAGACGGAGCAGGTTCATGTCCTATTCGTGGCCAGCAGTGGTAATCACATTAAGAAACTGTCGGTGAAGTACGGCAGCGAAGGAGCACAGACCTGTCTGGTGGAACTTTGGCAAGCGGATGATACGGGTACGAGTAGCCTGCTGAATATGGCCTACTTGAAAGTCAGCGACTCCCTCTATTTGGGCACCGACCTGGCCCTCACCCGCATCCCGGCCCAGCACTGCAGTCGCCATGTGTCGCAGTCCAGTTGCCTGAACTCCATGGATCCCTACTGCGGCTGGAACGAGCTGGTGGAGCGTTGCATGCCCCAGCCACTGGACTCCTCTGTCCTGCAGCACTGGCACCAGGCGCCGCAGATCACCTGTCCGGTGATCAATGCCCCCATCGATGGCGGTTGGTCCACCTGGAGTCCCTGGGCCGTTTGCCAGCAGCACGAGCAGCCGGATAGCAATTGCCAGTGCCGACAGCGCAGCTGTAACAATCCTCAGCCGCAACACGGAGGCTCCACCTGCGAGGGCATCAGGTATGTTGAAGTTCTATAAAACTATAGTTAGAAATAGAATTTTTTAAAATGTTATTCTTTACTCAAGTATTTTAGATTCTCATTTAATATTTGTTTTTTTAATATTTTCCGAATATTTTCATGCGGTTCTTTAACAATTCGAACAACTTTTGTTGAGTCACATTTTTGAAAATGAAAAATTCGTAAAATAAGTAATAAGGATTTAGCCAAAACAAAAAATATATTTTAGTTCCAATTTTTTTAATTGGCCAAAAAACGTTAAATTTGAAACAGTACTCTCTAATTGAATAGTAATCCTATAGACTTCGAGTCTTTTTCATTAATTCCTCTAAAACGTCTTCCTTTGAAATAAAATTAAAAACAAATGAAAAAATTGTTAATTTCTTAAAAATAGAAACAAGTTCGGATTTTTAAAAAAATATAAACATTGCCCCCTCAAAAAAAATATATATCCGCCAAATAGTTAGTTACAATCCGATTTTATACACAGCATTTTTACATTATATGAACATAATAAATTACTGATAATGATTAATAACATAGAAAACCCAGATTTGATTAGTATAAGAAGAAATGACTTAACAATTTTCAGAAATATAATTATTACAATAATTATTAATATTTATTAATTAAAATGAAACAAATACTAATTATTTATATTTATCACAGCACCCAGGTGACGAACTGCACCCAGCATGGCGGATGGACGGAGTGGTCGGCATGGTCGCCCTGCTCGCAGACCTGCGGCATTGCCGTGAAGATCCGGCGGCGCACCTGCGGCAATCCCCGTCCCGCGTACGGCGGTCGCACCTGCGTGGGCTCGGAGCAGTCGGAGATGTACTGCCGCCACCTGCCGCCCTGTCCGGTGGCCAAGCCGCAGTCCGTGGACGGCGGCTGGGGTCCGTGGGGCGAGTGGAGCGAGTGCAGTGCCCAGTGCGGCGGCGGCTTCCGGATGCGACGGCGGGAGTGCAACGATCCGGCTCCGCTGAACGGCGGCCTGGAGTGTCCGGGCTGTCGGCTGGACTACGAGGAGTGCAACATGCAGAGCTGCCAGGAGGTGCGCAAGATGAGCGCCTGGACGCCCTGGATGATGGTGGCGGGAGTGGGAGGCGGAAATTCCAGCGAACCGCACACGGAGAAGCGGTTCCGGTATATCTGCCGGGCAACCAGTCCGGATGCCAGTTCCGTTCGAGTGGCCCAGGCCAGGGAGGAGGTGCGCAACTGTCATGCGGACGGCACCTGTCAGCGGCAGGGGGGAGATCACGATTCGCAGGACTTGGAAACGGCGGATTGGTCGCCGTGCAGCGTCAGTTGCGGCGGTGGAACCCAGCAACGCCAGCGAGGAGGACGCGGAGGAACCCAGAGCAGGGTTTGCAATCTGCAAGCTTGTCCCGTGGACAACGACCAACAGCTGAGCAGCAACACCATGGACAACGAGGTGGAGCACGGGGAGTGGGGCTGCTGGTCGGAGTGGTCCGCCTGCTCGGTTACCTGCGGCCTGGGACTGCGGCGGAGGACACGCCGTTGCCTGGCGGGTCAGGAACGACTGTGCCAAGGTCGCGCCCTCGAGGAGCAGAAGTGTGAAATGGTTCCCTGCGAAGGTGAGTCATTATCAGCTTTCCTTTTCCCTTTTTTCAATATTAAATTCCTGATTTCTCTGTTAGATTTCCTGGGTTGGAGTTCGTGGAGCGAGTGGTCCAGCTGTTCAAGCGATGGCATTCGCCTGAGACATCGCCGCTGCCTGGTGGAGCAACCCGGTTCGATGGAGTGTCGTGGTGCGGAGTTCGAGAAGACCGCCTGTGTGCCCAATGAATGCGAGGGTAGGTTTTTGAGTTATTTTTCTAGTTGCTGGTGTTCTAATACTCATCCAATTCCTTTACAGAAACCCAGACCGCCTCAACCGCCACCCTGCCCATCGTGATCACCGTTTGCCTGCTTTTCACCGTGGCCTGTTGCTTGGCCACCTATCGATTCTGCAAAAAGCGTTTCCTCCTGAGTGCCGAGGAGGCTTTAAACAAAACTACGACGACAACGGCCAGCTTTGACACCTATCCCAATCAATACTCCAGCCTGCCCACCAAGGATGTAAGTAAAAGACTAAAAAAATAACATAAACATTAATAAATAATACAATAATAATACAATAATACAAATAATAATACAATAATACAATTTATTTAAATTATGCAACAAATATGTTTTATATTTTAACGTACCTTCATTTAAATATTTATTTAAATATGTATGATCTTTATTTTGCTCAATTAAAAATCATTATAAAGGAAACGATTTATTTAGATTATGCAACCAATTTGATTTTTATTTACATTTTGTTTTAATATTTATTTAATTTCTTAAGTTTTTTATTTCGTTTAATTAAAATGTAATATGAAGGCTACTTTAGAGGATTAAATTATTTGAACAAACTATCTAAGAAAGTAGATCATTTCAGTTTAAATTTGTTCTATGAAAAGGCATTGCCAATTAGACACTTTTATTACATAACTTATTTATGAATTTTTTTTTATTTTTTTATTTTTATTAGTGTCTCTTTTGAAGACTATTTTTAATGAATCCTCTTTCTTCCTTGCAGTACTACGATCAGCGACCCAAGCGGCAGTCCAGCTTCCGTATGCCCGCCAAGACCAGTAATTTGGGCAACGGCAATGGCACCATCAACCGGAACAACATGCACCACAATAATACGCCCAAGGTTCTGGCCAAGACCTATAACGATTGCGAAACGGGAACGTTGAAACGACAATCGGCGCTAAACAATTGCCGAAGCAACATCGATGACGAAAAGTTCTAGGGAAACGAGCTATCACCTAGAAACCACCAAGTGCCATCATTTGACATGACCAACCAACTGTCTATTGAAATGTTACAACGATAAAGTTTTTTTTTGCGCCAATTCCACGTTGCAAAAGTTCCTTCTTGACTCACATTGAGTCGTTTTAGTTAAGCTTATTGAGGTTACTTGACCTAAGTAGTTACAGCATGTAAGTTAGCCTAGAGCTAAGTTCAAAAAGTATTTTAGTTGGATCCAAAAATTTTGAAGTTTTTAATAAAACTGATTTTATAGTGTTTTTGCATTTAGTATTGTAGATACCGTCATTTGAAAATGTTGTATAAATTGTTTTAGTTTATGATATGGCCCAACAAACGAGACTGACCATTTATATAGAATATTTGCTTAAATTTCCGCAAAATTAAAGCCATGCAGCGAAATAAACAATTTTTAATATTAATTATATTATTTTTATTTAACTATAACTTATCACTGAACTGTCATAATGTATAGTGCTTAAAGTGCTGTAAAGAATAGTGCTTAAGTTGGATAAATCTATAAAATAAAGAATTTTTACTAACCGACTAAATGAAGTTATCTTTCCAAGAAGATTTTATAAATGTAAAGACGTTTACTACACAAATATAAGAAAGCGATACAAAACCGATGTTGTAGTGGAGGGATGTAAAATGAAACGTTTCCCAGTTAGACAGGTTCGAACAATTTATATATTTTTTGTTATTGTTCCCAATTGTACACCAATTGAGTAATTAATGTATAACTCGATGGTACATATTCTTTTTCTATTTCCAGAAATGTTCTTGCTGATTGACCTATGATTGGGCAATTTATATACGGCCCTGTTCTAGTTTTCACTTCCGAAAGATTCACACGGAATCGAATTTTCCAGACCTGTTCGATGACTCACTTCCGAAAGAACTGCACGGATTCAAATATCCCTTGTTGTTACTCTGTTAACTTCCGAAAAATTCACAAGGAAACCATCCGCCAAGCATTTGACAGGCGGACTTAAATCCGCCAGCATGAAATGAAATTCACTTCCGAGTGAAAACTGGAACAGGCTGGATAATCTTTTATCAGTACATACTTCTTTACATCATGAAAACCTCGATTGTTTTGCTGGTTTCTCGGCTTCGCATTTATACACAGAAAATAAAACAAAAATTTGTTTTGCAGCTATGAACTTATTTTTATACCTTAACCTTTTATGTCTAATTTAAAGACACAAAAACCGGTTTAAAAAAAATATTTAAAATAATTTCATACTCAAATTTAATTTTTTTGAAAAAATTTAAGTGAGAAAAACAATTTAATTAAACACTTTAGCACATTAAACTAGCAGAATATTTTTTTCTAAGTGTAGTAAAAAATATAAATATGTTTGATTTTTTAGGATTATTAGATTAGATTGTGGTTCAAAAATAGTCCACACAATATGTGAACTAGCTCCCTTCATAGAAAGTCGAACTTTGTTATCCGCGGAGCAAATTCTCAACTTAAAAATGATTTTGTGTTCGGAATTGCGGAAACTACTCATACTTCTAATATTCGTTTATCATGGGCGAATTTTAGCATTTACAACTTTGGAAATTCAATGGCCAATGGCGAATGCGATGGAGGAGGAGATGGCTCTATTCAATCCCTTCCATAAATTGTTCCATTGAAACGGATCATTGCAGGTGACGCAGTACAATATCATCGACATGACCGTTTTAAGGGAAAAGATTCAGTATACAGGCAGGCTGGTTAACCTGAACGAAAATGAGTACAAATTGTTAGAGGTTTGTGTTTCAATCAGGGACCGAACATGGAACATGGAACATGGAACATGGCACATGGAACATGGAACATGGCACATGGAACATGGCACATGGAACATGGAACATGGAACATGGAACATGGAACATGGAACATGGAACATGGCACATGGCACATGGAACATGGCACATGGAACATGGAACATGGCACATGGAACATGGAACATGGAACATGGAACATGGAACATGGAACATGGAACATGGAACATGGAACATGGAACATGGAACATGGAACATGGAACATGGAACATGGAACATGGAACATGGAACATGGAACATGGAACATGGCACATGGAACATGGCACATGGAACATGGCACATGGAACATGGAACATGGAACATGGAACATGGAACATGGAACATGGAACATGGAACATGGCACATGGAACATGGAACATGGCACATGGAACATGGAACATGGCACATGGAACATGGCACATGGAACATGGAACATGACACATGGCACATGGAACAAGGAACATGGAACATGGAACATGGAACATGGAACATGGAACATGGAACATGGCACATGGAACATGGAACATGGAACATGGAACATGGAACATGGCACATGGAACATGGCACATGGAACATGGCACATGGAACATGGAACAAGGAACATGGAACATGGCACATGGAACATGGAACATGGCACATGGCACATGGAACATGGCACATGGAACATGGCACATGGAACATGGAACATGGAACATGGAACATGGAACATGGAACATGGCACATGGAACATGGCACATGGAACATGGCACATGGAACATGGAACAAGGAACATGGAACATGGCACATGGAACATGGAACATGGAACATGGAACATGGAACATGGAACATGGAACATGGAACATGGAACATGGAACATGGAACATGGAACATGGAACATGGAACATGGAACATGGAACAAGGAACATGGAACATGGCACATGGAACATGGAACAAGGAACATGGAACATGGAACATGGAACATGGAACATGGAACATGGAACATGGAACATGGAACATGGAACATGGAACATGGCACATGGCACATGGAACATGGCACATGGCACATGGCACATGGAACATGGAACATGACACATGGCACATGGAACATGGAACAAGGAACATGGAACATGGAACATGGAACATGGAACATGGCACATGGAACATGGAACATGGAACATGGAACATGGAACATGGAACATGGCACATGGAACATGGCACATGGAACATGGCACATGGAACATGGCACATGGAACATGGAACATGGAACATGGAACATGGCACATGGAACATGGCACATGGAACATGGAACAAGGAACATGGAACATGGAACATGGAACATGGCACATGGAACATGGCACATGGAACATGGCACATGGAACATGGCACATGGCACATGGCCCATGGAACATGGCACATGGAACATGGAACATGGAACATGGAACATGGAACATGGCACATGGCACATGGAACATGGCACATGGAACATGGAACATGGCACATGGAACATGGAACATGACACATGGCACATGGCACATGGCACATGGAACATGGCACATGGAACATGGAACATGGCACATGGAACATGGAACATGGAACATGGAACATGGCACATGGAACATGGCACATGGCACATGGCCCATGGAACAAGGAACATGGAACATGGAACATGGAACATGGAACATGGAACATGGAACATGGAACATGGCACATGGCACATGGCACATGGAACATGGCACGTGGAACATGGAACATGGAACATGGAACATGGAACATGGAACATGGCACATGGAACATGGCACATGGCACATGGCCCATGGAACATGGAACATGGAACATGGAACATGGAACATGGAACATGGAACATGGAACATGGAACATGGAACATGGAACATGGAACATGGAACATGGAACATGGAACATGGAACATGGAACATGGAACATGGAACATGGAACATGGAACATGGCACATGGAACATGGCACATGGAACATGGCACATGGCACATGGCCCATGGAACATGGAACAAGGAACATGGAACATGGAACATGGCACATGGAACATGGCACAAGGAACATGGAACATGGAACATGGAACATGGAACATGGAACATGGAACATGGAACAAGGAACATGGCACATGGAACATGGAACATGGCACATGGAACATGGAACATGGCACATGGAACATGGCACATGGAACATGGAACATGGCACATGACACATGGATCATGGCACATGGAACATGGCACATGGAACATGGCACATGGAACATGGCACATGGCACATGGAACATGGCACATGGCACATGGCCCATGGAACATGGAACAAGGAACATGGAACATGGAACATGGAACATGGAACATGGAACATGGAACATGGAACATGGAACATGGAACATGGAACATGGAACATGGAACAAGGAACATGGAACATGGAACATGGAACAAGGAACATGGCACATGGAACATGGCACATGGAACATGGCACATGGAACATGGCACATGGAACATGGCACATGGAACATGGAACAAGGAACATGGCACATGGAACATGGAACATGGCACATGGAACATGGCACATGGAACATGGCACATGGAACATGGAACATGGAACAAGGAACATGGAACATGGCACATGGAACATGGAACATGGAACATGGCACATGGAACATGGAACATGGCACATGGAACATGGCACATGGAACATGGAACATGACACATGGCACATGGAACATGGCACATGGCACATGGAACATGGCACATGGAACATGGAACATGGCACATGGAACATGGAACATGGAACATGGAACATGGAACATGGAACATGGCACATGGAACATGGCACATGGAACATGGCACATGGAACATGGCACATGGAACATGGAACATGGAACATGGAACATGGCACATGGAACATGGCACATGGAACATGGAACAAGGAACATGGAACATGGAACATGGAACATGGCACATGGAACATGGCACATGGAACATGGCACATGGCACATGGCCCATGGAACATGGCACATGGAACATGGAACATGGAACATGGAACATGGAACATGGCACATGGCACATGGAACATGGCACATGGAACATGGAACATGGCACATGGAACATGGAACATGACACATGGCACATGGCACATGGCACATGGAACATGGAACATGGAACATGGAACATGGAACATGGAACATGGCACATGGAACATGGCACATGGAACATGGCACATGGCACATGGCCCATGGAACATGGAACAAGGAACATGGAACATGGAACATGGAACATGGAACATGGAACATGGAACATGGAACATGGAACATGGCACATGGCACATGGCACATGGAACATGGAACATGGAACATGGAACATGGAACATGGAACATGGCACATGGAACATGGCACATGGCACATGGCCCATGGAACATGGAACATGGAACATGGAACATGGAACATGGAACATGGAACATGGAACATGGAACATGGAACATGGAACATGGAACATGGAACATGGAACATGGAACATGGAACATGGAACATGGAACATGGAACATGGAACATGGAACATGGCACATGGAACATGGCACATGGAACATGGCACATGGCACATGGCCCATGGAACATGGAACAAGGAACATGGAACATGGCACATGGCACATGGAACATGGCACATGGAACATGGAACATGGAACATGGCACATGGCACATGGAACATGGAACATGGAACATGTAACATGGAACATGGAACATGGAACAT